GCATGAAAGTTCCAGTCTCTCCACATCCTCTCCAACTTTCATTGCTTGCTATATCTTGTTAAACTTTGCCACTGGAGTGAGATGGCAGTTGTTTTGATTTGCTTCTTTTATTGTCAGCAATTTTGATCATTTCTTCACGTGTTTGTTGGCCATCTGAATGTCTTTCTTTGCAAAAAGTCTTTCTATGTCTTTTGCCTATTTTGTGATTATCAGTCGTTTTCTTGTGGAGGTCCTATAATATTTTGTTAATTTTCATTATGAGACCCTTGTCTGAGATGGCATTGCCAAATGTTTTCTCTCAATCTTTGGGTTTTCTTTTCACCCTATTGGAAAAAGTTTTTGAAGCACACACAGAGACTTTAGTTGGTCCCATTTGTCTTTTGTACTTTCCTGGTTGTGCATTTCTGGCTCTTATACCATACACTGTTGACACAGTAACAGGGATAATGAGGTGACATATGTTGGAGACAAACTAGCTCAGGAGTTGAGAGTTATTGTACATAGGGTCACTATGAGTCACAGGCAACTTGATGGCACATAACAACAGCAAGCCTTGTTTAAGTTTGGTCCCGTTTTGTCTATTATGAGCTTTTCTATTATGATTTTGGGCTAGGTCTCTGATTCACCTTGAGTCGATTTTTGTGTATAGTGTAAGATGTAGATCTTGCTTCAGCTTTCTGCAGGTAGGTGTTCCATTTTGCCAGTATCATTTATTGAGTAGATTGCTATTTTTCCATTTGATAGGTTTTGTTTCCTTGTTGAATACCAGTTGGCCAGTAGGTAGATGGTAGGTAGGTTAATTTCTGAGTTCTCAGTTCTGCTCCACTGGCCTATGTGTCTGTCATTATACCAATACCATGCTGTTTTGGTTATCACACTTACCACTTTATTTGTGTGTTTGATTTTTCAGAAGTACTTTGCTTCTTTGGGTTATCTTTTCATTCCCAAATAAGCATACAAATTGCCTTTTCTATCTTTTTGAATAAGAGTTCAGTATCTGTATTGGGACTACATTAAACATGTAGATTGCTTTTTTATAGGATTGTCATTTCACTATATTGAAGTTTCCTATCCACGAACAGGAAACTGTTTCTTGCAGTAGTGATTTGTAGTTTTCCTTATAAAAGTCTTTTGTGTCTCTAGTTAGTATTATTCCCAAATATCCCAGTTTGTGGTATTACTTTCTTTGTCTCCTTTGTTATGTTTTGTTACTGTAGAGAAATTCTACTTTTTATATTGATCTTATATCCTACCACTCTATGAAATTGATGTACTACGTCTAATACTTTCTTTGAGTCTTTGGAGTTTTCTGTATGCATATAGCAACAATTTCACCACCTTTTTGCCAGTTAGAATGCCTCTTATTTCAGTCTCTTGTCTTACTACCCTAGCAAGTGCTTCCAATACAATATTGAATAAGAATGGTGATAGTGGGCATCCTTGCCTGGTCCCTTTTCTCAAAGGGAATGTCTTTAGTCTTTCTCAAAAAGATCATGTTGACTCTTTGTTTTTGCATGTATATTTTTCACTGTGATGAAATTTCCTTCTATTCCTATTTTGTTGAGTATTTACATCAGGATTTTATCCCTGTCATTCGATAGGATCATACTGATCTTTGTCCTTTGCTTTTTTTAATGGCATGAATTATGTTGATTATTTTTCTTAGGTTGAACCATCCTTAGATGCCTGTTAATGAATCCCATTTGATCATGATAAATTATTTTTTTAATATACTATTGGATTCCATTGGCCAGAATTTTTTTAAAGGAATTTTGCATTTATATTCATGAGAGATTTTGATCTGTGTTTTCCTTTTTTGGTAATATTCTTTCCTTGTATTGGTATTAGTTTTATGCAAGATTCATACAACTCTGGGAGTATAAGCATATTTTAAATATGATCTTAAGCTCTTCTTTAGCATTGCAGTTCTTGCTAAGTTATTAGGTTCATAAGGCCTAAATTTTGTACTTATATACTCAAAAAAAGGTAGCTTTTTATTTTTTTAATGTTTTCTTGTGATTAAGGTGAAAATGTGAGGAGAGACTGGTCCTTGGAGAAGGACATCATGCTTGGGAGGGTGGAGGGACAGCGCAGGAGAGGAAGGCCCTCTATGAAGTGGATTGATTCAGTGACTGGGATAATTGGGATGGGAGTGTCAGAGACAGTGCGATTGGCACAGGACAGAGCGGAGTTTAGGGCTGTTGTACATAGGGTCGCTATGAGTCACAAGCAACTCGACAGCACATAACAATAACAACAACATTTGTAGGCTGCCTCATGTCTCCTCCCTTTAAGATGTAAAGCCTCAGAAATTCTATGGAGGGTTGCTCTGGGTCAGAACCAACTCGGTGACAGTGGCACCATGTAATATTTGTCCTTTTGTGACTGGGATATATCACTCAGCATAATGTTCTCCAGAGTCAGCCATTTTGAATAATATTGCACAAGTTCCTTGTTTTTCAATGCAGCATAGTATCCCATTGTGTGAATATACCACAGCTTCTCTATCCATTCGTTTGTTGATGGGCACTTAGGTTGTTTCCAACTCCTTGCTATTGTGAACAAAGCTGCAATAAACATGGGTGTGCATATATCTGCTTGGGTGGCAGTTATGGTCTCTTTGGGGTATATTCCCAGTAGTGGAATTGCTGGGTCAAATGGTATCTCTGTTTGCATCTTTTTGAGAAAGCGCCATACCACCTTCCACAGATGTTGCACTATTGTACTCTCCCACTAACAATGAATAAGGGTTCCAGTTTCTCCACAACCTTGCCAGCATTTGTTGCTTGTTGTTCTGTTAAATTTTTGCCTGGTGTGAGATGATATCTCATAGTTCTAATTTGCATCTCTCTTAGAGCTAGGGATTTTGAACATTTCTTCATGTGCTTGTTGGCCATCTGAATGTCTTTTTTGGTGAAGTGTCTGTTCATATCCTGTGACCATTTTTCTATTGGATTATTTACCTTTATCTTGTTGTGGTGCTCAAGTATTTTATAAATTCTGGCTATAAGTCCCTTATCTGTTATGTTATTACCAAATACTTTTTCCCAGTTGGTGGTTTCCCTTTTTACCCTGTTGGAGAAATTTTTGGATGTGCATAGGGGTTTGAGTCTTACAAGATCCCATTCATCTACTTTATCTTCTCCTGGTTGTAGGGGCTTTCTGCTTCTCAAGCTTGATATCTTTTCAGGGACTGGTCCCTCTTACTAACACCCCCAAAGAATGTGAGACTATCCTTACTTCTGGGAGCACTCTGGCTGCACATCTTCTAACACAGATTTATTTGTTCTTTTAGTAGTCTACATTGAATATATTAAATATTCTTCACCAATCACAATTCAAATACATCCTTATTGTCCAACTTTGACATGTACATGAAGCTACTGAAAAGATCTAAGTCAGGCATATACTTAAGTGACTCTTTACCCTTTCTCCTGCTTTCTAGTTTGTCCTAGTCTAGAAGCTCTGCTGAGACCTGTCCAGAGTGGGTGACTTTTGGTATTTGAAATGCCAGTGACATAGCTTGCAGCATCAAAGCAAAATGAAAGTCACCACAGTATGACAGGTGGCACTTGGGGAATAGGTAGAAGAAAAAAAAAAATCTATAGTGTTTTATAAATAACACACCCATGCCCACACATAGAACATACATGGCATGCTTTGGAAAATAATATGCAAAGAATTTGTGCCCTCATTTTTACCATATAAAAATACACTAATCCTCATCTTCCAAAGTGGGAATTCCTCTGGAGACAGATGAATGGGGGGTGTGAGAAGAGCAATAGGGAATACCTATTATTATCCATATAGGCATACATCTTGTAGACTTTTAAAACCAGGTATCTTTAATTTAAAAAAAAGGTAAAGAAAATTCCCTAGTGTGTAGGGAGCTACACTGCTCACGCAAAGGTGGCTAGTCAAATCTACCAGCCACTCCATGGGAGAACAATGGGCATTCTATTCCCATGCAATTTACAGCCTCTGAAAATCCACTGGAAGATCAGCTATGCATTGGTTCTGACTCAACAGCAGTAAGTTCGGTCCTAAAAAGTGAAAAAGAAAAAAAAACACCTTTTTCAAAGTCAGTAAATACATAATTCTTACATTGCCCTTTTCTCTTTCCTCTTCTACTTGTTGAGTACTTTTGGCACCAACTCATAGCCATGCCTCCAGAGTCAGCGGGTTTATGAGAGGAAATTGCCCATCTTTCTTCTGTGGAGCAGTGGGTGAATTTGAACTAGGTACCTTTGCGTTGCGGGCACATTTCCTTACCACTGATCTACGAGAATGCCCTTTCACTTGCACCACTTCTTGTTATTATCATTGATCCATAGCTGTCCCTCCAGCAGGTTTTCAGAGGCAGTAAATCACACAGGAGGAGATTGCCCTTCTTTGTTCCACAGAGAAACTGGTGGATTTGAACTGTACCTTTGTATTGGCAACACAATTCCTTACTACTAGCCTCAGAAGCCCTGTTCATGAAACCATTGTCCATCTCTAATAAAGTTAGTGAATGTACCACTTTGTTCTGATTCTATTTGATAAAATCATATAGACTTGCTCACCAGAAAGAACATTTTAAAAGTACATTATTTGGCCTACCATTTTACCACATTAAGCATATCCTGGAGTAATTGCATTTAAAAATGTGATCTGTTTTTAGTAATATTCCTATGTAAATCTGCAAACAAGAGAAGACATTTATTTCTCAGTAATTATTCTTAGATACAGGATTATTTAAAATAACCATCTAACACTTAATAGAGTTTAGCAAGTGAATGAATAAAGAACTTTTACTTTAAGAAATATTTAAGTATAAACAAGTATATAATAAACAAAATAAAAATATTACTTAAGAAGCTTGAAAAAACCAATTATTGGACAAGCAAACTTGGTTAAAGACTTTTCCTTCTTATTTTCAATTACAAAAGCTAATTTGTAGTTCTTAATGATGTTGACTTCTGAAGTAGTTTTACCTCTTTTTTCCTAATTCCTACTAGGATCTTTCCAGTTAAAGATGTACCTCTGGAGACTGATGCCCTTACTGATTGGCTATATCAACGCTATGTTGAAAAAGAGGAACTCCTATCACATTTTTATAAAACAGGTACATGATGTGTGTGTGTGTGTGTGTGTGTGTGTAGTCCTGATTTTAATGATAGTTCCAAGTTACTGAAGTTACTGTTAATACTTTAGAATAGATTGTATATTTCTTATTCTTCAGATACCTAGAGGAATCCAAGTACTTCTATATTTAAGAATTCCAGCTTAGAAATTTAAAGATAAATTTCTATGAATGCTCTCCGTGGGCAAAGGTCAAATGATAGTTATTAATGTCTTATAAATGAATTTTATCCAGGAGAATTCACAGGAACACAACCTACAGTACTGTAGATTGCAGGTATAAATATAGAATGATACTTTAGGAAATAATCAGATAGCACTCAATGTTTTGGCATTGTACTTGATGTTTAAAAAGCATTGTAGTCACCTGAGATAATTTTTAATTGTGTTTTTAAGTGATTATTTTTTTTCTTTACACAAAAGGGTACAGTTTATAAGTCTTTACATATGCAAATTTTCCTTCTTGGTAAAGAAAAGAAAAGTCTTTATCTTAATATTTCTTCTACTCTTAAAAATCTTTATCATCTGTCTGTCAAAATTACAGTGCAGTGAAAATGGTACAGTAAAAGAAGAGCAGGAGGAAGGAGGTTGGGAAAGCAGGTTAACATTGGCAGAATACCAGGCATTGTAGTGGTGCATGCTTTCACTGTTGGCTGTGTTTTTATCCTATTTCCTAGAGTCTCCAACAGAAAAGTAAAAAGGTAGACACAGAGCTGTCCTTGATCTGAGGCTAGCCATGAGATTTTAGATGCACAGAAAGCCCTGATTTTCCCCCACTTAGACTCTTTTTGGTACTGAAAGTTGATGTTGAATCAAACTGTCAAAGATCTAACTTTGAGCAAAGAATGCTGTTAATTTGGTGACAGTACAGTAAAACATAACACCACTTCAAAAGTTTCAATTGTACAGCTAGTTGCATTTAATTACATTCTTTGAGATGTACAATTTCATCGTCTTTTCAGTACCATTTAATTACAGGGAGCCAGCGCTTTAGTGGCTTTGCACTACCAATGCAATAGCATGTGGTTTGAATCCACTAGCTTCTCTGTGGGAGAGAGATGGGCATTCTCCCACGTGATTTACTGCCTCCGGACTCAAGGACACGTCTGGTGACAGCATGATGTTAATTCACATTCATGGTTTTGGGTCAGGGTTTTGTGTCGCTTTGCCCCAAGCAGCATTCCTCTCTTCCTGCCTTTTTGCTCAGTCAGTGGACTAGTGTATATTAGTATCGCAGTAAGTGGACACTATATTTGTTATTAGGGTCCATAGTAAGACTAAGGGAATAAGAATTTCTTAGTCCTACTCTCAGATTGTCTTTACAGGTAGGATTGGATAAACTAAGAAGACAGGAGGCAGTGAGAGGCCCACAGGATTTCCCTTCCTTTTCAACTTGAATCTCTTTCCTTATGACAGTTGCCTTTAATTGTAGTAATAGTTACAGCAGCTCCTTCTTAAGAGTGCTGTTTGCAGAATAGAGGAGATTTGATGCAGTGGTTAAATGTCTGAGTAGAACCATCTGCTCCTCAAAGAAAGAAGCAGAGTTTCAGCTTAAAAACCCTGTGCGGCAGTTCTGCTCTGTGCTTCAGGGTCCCTGTGAATCAAATAAACTCAGTGGCTCTGGGTTTATTTGTATTGTAGACCTTGAAACTTGAAAGTGCTTTTTGTAAATGACTTGCTCATGAGAAGCAAATCCCCTCATGAATCAGCTTACCCAAAGGGATTATCAGCAAGGACAAAGACTATTTTGAAATGCCCAAGAGTGTTATCAAGATGACCTTCAGTAATATTGCTTTGTAGTGATGTAGCTTTTCAGAAAAGAATTTAAAGATATCTGTTTACTTGTGTTTCTTCATTGTAATCTTAAAATACATTTAATAAAACATACTGCCTTTTGAAAATGTCACTGTCACTTTCTTGTGGCAATAGCATTTAATTTTCAAGTTATATCCCATTGAGGTGCAACTGACTCAAAGCTGACATATGAAATTTTCAGAGGCAGTAAATCAAATGGGAGGAGGTTGCCCGTCTTTCTCCCAGGGAGCAGTTGGTGCATTTGGACCATGTGTCTTTGGGTTGGCAGCACAACTCCTTGCTTACGAGGCTATAGGCTATCAGAGCTCCCCGTTTTGTAAGTAAAGGAAGTCATAGAAATTATGACTGTTGTATTGAGTCAGAACTGACCCATAGCTGACCCTCCAGTGGGTTTTCAGAAGCAGTTAATTGAATGGGAGGAGATTGCCCATCCTTCTCCCATGGAGCAGCTGGAAGATTTGAACCATGTGCATTCAGGGGTGTTGGTGCAGGTTCTTAGCACTAGGCCACCAGAGCTCCCTACTGAAGAAATTAATTATTTAGCTCATTTAAAAAAAGAAATCATTTCTATTGGAACTGATCCCATTGGATTTCCAAAACTAAACTGCATGGAGGAAGAGATTGCCCATCCTTCTCCCTTGGAGCCACCGGTGAATTCACATTGTCATAGTGGCAGCCTCTAATCCAAGATTAGAGACACTCCCTACAGACTATACCACTACAGCTCCCTCTTATTTAATTAGGATCTGTTCCTTCTGTGTTCTAGCCACTTGAGGAAGTCTCTAAGGGGACATAATGGAAACAAGGGAGCTAGGCTCTGCTTTTATGCAACTACCATTCCAGGGGAGAGGCAGACTATAACATCTGTAGAGAGAAATTGAATCAAGTGCAATCAGGGAATGTTGGGGTATGTGTTCTGATGGTGGAAGGATGCAGTGAATCTGCCATTCATTTGAGCTGGAGAAGGGGCATTCCAGGCCCAGAGAATAAAGGCAAAATCTCAAAGGCAGAGGGGCTGAGCGGTTAGAAGACTATTTCAATTAAAACCTCCCTTCCAGAGCACTGCAAGTCGTGGAAGAGACTTCTCTTGTAAACTCTAGTTAATTAATATTCAACTTTTGTTTCAGGAGTGTAATGGAGTAATGTTTCTGTCTTGTCTTTTAGGAGCTTTTCCACCTGTCAAAGGCCACAAGGAAGCTGTTTCCAAGGAGATGACCCTCAGCAATATGAAGCTGTTTCTCTTACACTCTTTTGCATTCTTGTCAGGCTACATGTGGTACAATATCATTCAGTATTTTTACCATTGCCTGTTTTAGAAAATTAATTGTCACGGTCACCATAGGACTTTCATAAATGTACATTATTTTTCATGTGCAAATCAGATTATATATATATATATATATAGATATATATATAAAGCAAAGGAAATTCAATGGATGGATTAATATTTATCCCCCTTTGGGATATTTTAAAACTCTACGCAAATGAGGATCAGTAATATAATGACCTGCTAATATATTTTAAGAACTTTTTATGTTTTAAAATGATATACTTTACCACATGTTTGAGCAAACATTACATTTGGAGAGAAGGAGATCATAAAATCATCCTAGAAGACTGAGAAAAGTTCTGTTGCCACCAGATATACTTGATAATTTAGTCCAAGCTCAGAAAGTCGTGTTGTAAAAAAAAAAAAAGTCGTGTTGTTGTCACCAATGCTCCAGAAGCCCCTCTTTTTTACCACTTCTTACTGTGTTGCTAGTAACCCTGAAGGGAGCTGGTTGATACCTTCTGAAAAACTGTTTCCTGTCATTCATAGTAACAAATTATAATCTTCAACAGTGAAATGAGGTACAGTTTCAGACACTTTTCTATGGGAGAGAACAGTGTCCAGTGAACATATTCCATGTGTTCTTTGTAAATCCTGCCTGGCCAGGCTAGCTCAGTCCAATACCATGTTTACATGCGCCAATGCTTTCTCCTATAAGAGGGGATAACTTGCATTCTCTTTTTGTATAGAAGTCATATCATAAGTTGACTGTTGTCTTTTACACAATGCACTTTTATAAGATGCAAATATAGTGAAGGATTAGTTCTGTAGCCTGAAAATAAATGTAAGCATAGTCAGGATTCTGGAGAGGCTGTTGTGTCGTTTCACATTTACTTGCGTGCTGATGCTCTCCAGAGCCACCCTCAGTGAGGTGACAGTTCTTAGAGAGGCTTTGATTTGTTTCTTTGCCATTTTGACATATTAGCACCAATTGAGAGCATTTGGTGGCTTAGCGGTAAAGAATTGCACTGCTAACCCAAAGTCAGGCAGCTCCAATCCACCAGTTGCTCGGTAGGAGAAAAATGGGCAAAATTGCTGCCCGTCTGATGTACAGCCTCTGAAAACCCACTGGAGGCTCAGCTTTGAGTCAGTTCTGACTCCATGGCACGTAATAACCATAACAAGCATCAAATGCATTTGGAGCTGGGTGAAACAAATTAATGCAAAACATCTACATTATCAAGAGGGTGGAACAGCGAACACCTGACAGGGACTTAAAGTGATGACACCTTCTGAAAAGGGACCTGCAACCTGGGCAGACAGTGCTGTGTTCCATGATTGCAGCAAGGAGCTGCCAGTTTTATGGTCTGCTTGGCCAGTAGATGGGCCAGCAAAAAAAAAGCTTCTCAGTCTCTTCTAGCCATATCGGAGAGAATAAAGTCAAGTTTCTATTTGTAGAAAATAGGCTTTTTCTGTATGTGTCACTGTTGATGTGATTTACCTCATGGGCATACCAAACTCCTCTCAGAAAGCAGCAGCACTCCATCCTTCTGTAACCTGTGTGCCCCTTTGTCAAGATCCAGTATTGCTGCCTGCTCTGAGATGCTGAAACTATGGAGACCCTTACAAGTCAGGGGTAGAGTCCTGTAATGTGAGCATTATAGATTATCCTGTTGTCTCTAATCACAAATAACAGATTTGAGGTGTAGGCTATAACATAAAAACAAAAGCTAACATTTTCCATTTTTAAATAAACAAAAAAAAACCCAAAAAAAACAAAAAACCAACAACCAGAGATGTGAATTTCCCCCCAGGTATATGGGAAAGGTAAAGCAACACCAAATAGAAGCCCAAAGCAGCTTCATCTTTTAAGATAACTCAGTGCACATGTAAGAAAGAGAACGATGCGTAAGTTGAAATACCTCAATGAATAGCTACCACTACTGGTACAGTGTAGATGACAGTGTTAATGTACTTGGCGTGGTCATGTGTATTGTAAGATGCCTTTTTTTTTAAATCTCAGCATTTCATTATATACCCGCCTATAGTAGCAGTTGTACAAGTAAAACTAGTCTCAGAAGTATGGAGGATGAGAGAGTGCCATGTAAACACTTCAGTTTGCAAACCAGCAAACAGTACAAAATTATAATTAAATTGAAATTGTTCTTTTGGAAGATAGGTTGATTATTGGAGGATTAACTGCTGACTGTCAATTGCTAACAGCTAAGAGACCTCTTCACTGCTGATACGAACCTCGACAGTGGCCAGTTGTGAAAACATACAGAATGCATATATCTGTCACATTTAGGGCCACTTTTGCTATCGCTGCTCCAAAGGCACATGATGTTAAATATACTGCGTTCATTAAGCAGTTGATCCTGTGAGATACCTTGTTTTTCAAGTATATTGTTACGTCTCTAGAGTGACAAATACCAGTAGATGCTGAGTTATTTTTTTCTTAAATGGACCTATAAGTTGTAAATAGATTTGTGTTTGATCACCCCTCTCTCTCTTTGATTCTTTTATCTATATGTTCTCTCTTCTTGCAAAGGGTTTGTTTGAGACCACTTGACAGTGTTTCTACTGCTTGCAGTAGGGAAGGAGAATAATTGTTCTTACATGAAAATCTGTGGAAGCAGCAATATGCCACCATTTAGAGGTCAATCAGAATTCTTAATGTGTTAGGTTTTTGTGAAATGAGGAGAGGAGGCTTAAAGGAGGACAGACATTTCATCAAGGGAAAAGAAAAGAAACTCTGCCAATGTTAACAGGAGTTGTGTGCAGGCCCTCAGCCTGTCTCAGGCTCTGGTCTGCCAAGATTCTCACAGTAGAGAGGCTTGACAACTGGGCGTCTGGTTCTGGTATCAGGAAGTCACCATAATGGCATCTTCTCAGCCACAGCAGGTATAATGTCTACAAAGGTGAAAAACCCGCTTTTTACTTCAGAAGGAGAATGGAGAAATCTATAAGCCAGTGACAGTAAAGAAAAACTACAAAATGGAATGTATTTTGGATCAGCAAACACATTAGTTGAGAATCTAAATAGATTGTAAGGAATGATAACTGGGAGTTCAGATCTGTCATACTATTAAGTAGTTTTCAGCATTGCAACCAAACTTTAATTTTCCAAAACAAAGGTACTAGGATTAAATTAATTAATCCAGTAGTCATAAGCAAGCCAAAAAGAATTTTATTTAAGAATTTGAATTTTTATTTTCATCAAACTTTTTTTTCCCCTCTAGAGATGCTTGTTAGTTTAAAAATTCTTTTGTTGTTTGTTAATTTCTCTTGCCTATGTATTTATGACTATGCTATGAATACTGAAATCATTTGGAAAGACACATAGCTATGAAGAAGAGGAGTCACAAAAGCCTTTATGATACATAGGCTAGGAAATGGGCCCCTGAGTAGAGTTGATAGTATGGAAATTTTTCTCAGGCATTTTATGGAAATAAAATCTTAAACCACCAAATAAAAACATCATTCCGGTATTAAGGACTGATGTTAAAAGCGCCTCATTCTTTGTTCATGTTACTCATTACTTGTAGATTTGTCATAGCAACGCTTACGTGACAATCACTTCCTAGCCAGTTCTTCTGACCCAGTTGGACATGGTTATAATCATATGAAGTCATCTTCCATCATGGGCAATCTGAATTGGGATTGTTTTTCTAATTAAGAAAATGTTTTGTGTGCACTGTGGAATAGGAAGTTACTTGTTTTCTTTCGGAGGGCAGGGGGTGGGGGAAGAGATCACATAGGACTTCATACCAGAGCCACCATGAGTATGCCCAGCTCTGGGCCATAAAGGATGGATAAAGAGGGTTTGCCTTGCTATTATTTTGCTATTCA